ATGATTTAAAAATTCTAAGCCTGCAAGCAGATATTATTTTTACTTTTAAACTAGGCAACTCATGATTCTTTGATCCTCTTGCTTTTAACTTATTTGTGTCTATATTAAAAGTAGGTTTCTTATAGGCATCATATAGTTGGTCTTGATGTTTTAATCCAACCGGCCAAGTACAGCCTTTGCATTGGGGCTTTTAGACCATTTACATTTAATGTAATTTTGATAGGATTGGGTTTAAGACTGCCATTTGTTGTTTGTTTCCTATTTTGTCATCTATTCTTTTGTTTCCTTTGTTTCTTTTTCTGCTTTTTTTCCCCACTGCCTTCCTTTGGATTGTGTTTTTATTTTTTTGTTTTTTGTTTTGGTTCAATTAAAACATTTAACTGGTAAGTTAAAATTATTATATTTGTGTTACACTTGTTTTTCATTTTTGTTCTTGAGACAGGGTCTCACTCTGTCACCCAGGCTGGATGCAGTGGCACGATTTGAGCTCAATGCAGCCTCAACTTCCCGGGCCAAAGTGATCCTCCCACCTCCATCTCCCAAGTAGCTGGGACTATAGGCACAGACCACCATGTCTGGCTAATTTTTTTCTATTTTTTGTAGAGACAGGGTCTCACTATTTGTCCAGGATGGTCTTGAACTCCTGGGCTCAAGCGATTCTCCTATCTCGACTTCCCAAAGTGCTGGGATTACAGGTGTGAGCCACTGCACCCAGTCAATGTGATGTTTTTATATATGTATACATTGTGGAATGGCTAAGTCAAGCTATTTAACATAGGTATTACCTCACATACATATCATATTTTGTGTGAGAACACTTAAAAATCTTCTGTCTTAGCAATTTTCATTATCTACAGTCACCGTGATATACAATAGATCTCTTGAATTTATTCCTTCTGTGTAATTTCATATCCTTTGACCAGTATCTCCCTAATCCTTTCTCTCCCAGCTTCTGGTAACTATTATTTTACTCTGTTTCTGTGAGTTTGACTTTTTTAGATTCCACCTGTAAGTGAGATCATATGGTATTTGTCCTTCTGTACCTAGTTTATTGCTCTTCACATAATGTCTTGCAGGTATCATTCACATCACAATTGGCAGGATTTCCTTCCTTTGTTAAGGCTGAATAGTATTCCGTTATGTATATATGCCACATTTTCTTTATCCATTCATCTGTTTATGGACATTTAGGTTGGCACCATATCTTGACCGTTGTTAATAATGCTGCAGTGAACACGGCAGTGCAGATATCTCTTCAACTCACAGATTTCATATCCTTTGGATATATACCCAGTAGTGGGATTGCTGTATCATATGGTAGTTCTATTTTTAACTTTTTGAGGAACTTCCATACTATTTTCCATAATGGCGATACTAATTTACATTCCCACCAACAGTGTACAAAAGTTCCCTTTTCTCTACAGCATTTATTAGCATTCAGCAATTTATAACAGTTATTCTAACAGGTGTGAGGTGATATCTCATTGTGGTTTTAATTTACACTTCCCTGATGACTAGTGCTATTGAGCATTCTCCCTTCGTTGGCCATTAGAATGTCTTCCTTTGAGAAATATCTATTCAGGTCCTTTCCTTATTTTTCAATCAGGTTATTTGTTTTCTTATTATTGAGTTGAGTTCATTTATATATTTTGGATATTAGCTCCTTTTCAGATGAATAGTTTGCAGATATAGTCTCCCATTCTGTAAGCTGCCTTTTCACTCTTTTGATTGTTTCCTTTGCTGTGCAGAAGCTGTTTTTTTTTTTTTTTTTTTGAGATGGAGTCTCGCTCTGTTGCCCAGGCTGGAGCGCGGTGGCCATATCTCAGTTCACTGTAAGCTCTGCCTCCCGGGTTCATGCCATTCTCCTGCCTCAGCCTCTGGAGTAGCTGGGACTACAGGCGTCAGCCACCTCGCCCAGCTAGTTTTTTGTACTTTTTTTTTTTTTAGTAGAGACGGGGTTTCACCGTGTTAGCCAGGATGGTCTCGATCTCCTGACCTCGTGATCCACCCGTCTCGGCCTCCCAAAGGGCTGGGATTACAGGCTTGAGCCACCGCGCCCGGCTGTGCAGAAGCTTTTAAGTTTGATGTAATTCCAAGAGAATTTTTAAAAATTCCATTTTTTCTTCTTTGCTGGCTCATTAGCTATAATTCTGTTTTGTACTTTTAGTGGTTGCTGCAAGGTTTACAGTACACATCTTTAACATACTCCATCTCCACTACATACATGATATAAGAGCTTTGCAAAAAACCTTCAGGCCTTTGTACTAGGTTGCCATAACTTTTACTTTTACATGTTATACATCTTACAATGCATTGTTAATATTTTTACTCTCAACATAGTTGTTATTTTTGGTGCTTTTTAATTCCTTTTTGTAGACTCCCATCTGGTATGTATTTTCTTATGCTTGAAGAACTTCATTTAACATTTCTTTCCCTGGCCTCTCAGCTCTAATGCAAGCCCGCCGGTGATAAATTATTTCAGCTTTTATGTGTCTGAATATCTTTATTTTACCTTTGCTTTAGAAAGATAATTTTATATGGGTATAGAATTCGAATTTGATAGTTTATATTTTTTCCCAATACTTGTCTGGCTTGCATCATTTCTGCAAGAAGTCAGTTGTTCTTATTTTTGTTCTTTTTTCTTCCTTATGTAATATGTCTGCTTTTTTCTATTTTTTTTTTTTTTTTTTTTGGGTTTTTTTTTTTCCCCCCCCCCCCCCCTTGCTGGTTTTAAGCAACTTGTGATATGAAAATTTAGTATAGTTTTCTTGATTGATGTTTATGAAACATTTTAGGTCTGTTTATGGTTTCCTGAAAATTTCAAAAAATTACATCTCCAAACATTTTTTCTCCCCCCACCTCCTCCTCTTTGTCGGGACTCTACACATATACTAGATTGCTTGACATTCTCCTACAGCTCTCTCATCTTTTTTCATCTGTTTTTTGTTTCATTTTGAATTTCTATTGTTATGTGTTCAAGTCCACTATCTTTCCTTCTGCAATGCCCAATCTACTAATTCCATTTATGTGTTCTCCTCAGAAATCTTAATTTTCATTTCTAGATGTTTGAATAGTTTTTTTTTTTACATGAAATGTCTCTACTTAACCTTTTTTCTAACTTTCTGAACATATAAAATACAGTTACAATAATTGTTTTAATGTCTTTGTCTATCAATTTGACCATCTCTGCCATTTCTGGTTCAGTGTCAATTAATATTTCTCATTATGTGTTATATTTTCACACATATTTGCATGCAGGGTAACCTTGAATTAATGTGAGTTATGAAGACTATTACCTTGTTGAGTGATGCACAGTTTCTCCTTCCTTCCTTCCTTTTTTCTTCGGTGTTTCGCTGTTGTTGCCCAGGCTAGAGTGGAATGGCGTGATCTTGGCTCACTGCAACCTCTGCCTCCTGGGTTCAAGCAATTCTCCTGCCTCAACCTCCCCAGTAGCTAGGATTATAGGCATGTGCCACCACGCCCAGCTAATTTTTGTATTTTTCTTTTCTTCTTTTTTCTTTTTTTTTGAGACAGAGTCTCGCTCTGTTGGCCAGGCTGGAGTGCAATGGCACGATTTAGGCTCACTGCAATCTCTGTCTCCCAGGTTCAAGCAATTCTCCGCCTCAGCCTCCTGAGTAGCTGGGATAACAGGCGTGTGTCACCACACCCGGCTTATTTTTGTATTTTTAGTAGAGATGGGGTTTCACCATGTTGGCCAGGCTGGTCTCGAACTGTTGAGCTCAGGCGATCCACCCACCTCAGCCTTCCAAAGTGTTGGGATTACAGGTGTGAACCACCGCGCCTGGCACATTTTCTATTACTGTATTCTTGAGCTTTGTTCTGGGACATAGTTGTTACTAAGAAACCCTTATCCTTCTGGATATGGCTTTTGTTAAGCAGTACCAAGGCAGTGTTAGTGCTAAGTAGTTCCCACTACTGAGGCAAAACTCTTCTGAGTACTACGCCCACTGCTCCATGAATTGTTTTCTACAAATGGCTGGTTGGACTAGGCATTACCCTTGCATGAGGTTCGATGAATTGTTTCTTCTAATACTTTCAGGTGGTTCCTTCACTGGCCTTAAACAGTTTTCTTACATTCATGTGCTGATTTCTGCAGATCTCCAGAGCTGTTTCTTTGGTATCCCTCCACCCGCCTCTTCCCTGCAGACTCTAGCTGTCTTGGCCTCCCTGGCCTCTCAGTTCTGACTTCTTAACCAGAGAGAATGCCAGGCTCCAACTTCATTTTCCTCTCCCTGTGCCACATGCTGGGCCAATCACAGAGGTCATTTTGTTTGTTTTCCTCTCAAGGATCATTGTTCTTTATGGACTAACAGCCAATAAAAATTTTTATTCTGATGAAAACATTCTGTGAAATTATTACATATATCTCATCTTGTTTCTTCATTGTCTCAGGTGGGAGAGTAAATCTGGTACTTGTTACTCCACGTGAAGTGAAAGTGGAAGTCTTAAAATGCAAGCTGAAAACTTGAATCCGATGCCAGGAAGCTCTGCTCCCACCAAATCATCTTTCTTACAGTCTGTGAATCCTATTCATGACACCTTGTTTTTTTTGGAGGGGGAGGGGGGACAGGGACCACTCTGTCACCCAGGCTGGAGTGCAGTGTCATGATCTCAGCTCACTGTAACCTCTGCCTCCTAGGCTCAAGCAATCCTCCCACCTCAGCCTCCCAAGTAGCTGGGACTATAGGTGCATGCCCTGCTGCTCACTGTATGCTTCCCCGCCCGCCGGCCCCATGGTGTGAAATGACACTGTTGGTGAAAATCACCTCAAAATAAGGTCTTTTAGGTTTTAAATCAAATTCTATCTTAGAGAATATATTGAATCAAGGTTCTGGAGTATATTTAATCTTATTCTTTTCATTTAACAAATAAAATGCTGTGCCCCAGTTTCCACAAAATAATTAATTTAATATAAGGGATGTCATATCAAATAATATTTCAACAGAAGCCAAGGAAATCCTGGTATCACATAGCCAGTGAACATAAACTGGTATTTATTTATGCAAACATATTGCAAAATTCCTCTAAACCTTTGAAAAATATTTGTTGTCATGAACACATAAAACGAAAAATCTAAAGTGAGTATCAAGATTTCATTTTTAGTTCATAAAAGATATTGAAGTCAAATTCCTTTCTACAAACACAGAAGAGTTGGCCACAGTGAGAAAATGTAAAAAAACATCAGTTTCTACCGTGGAAAACACAGCAGGAGGTCTATTTTTTTAAAAAAGTATTTCAGTGACAGGAGTTCCTATAAAAAGATTAAATATTCTTGTCATAATGACAAGAAACCTTCATAGCTTCAATAATCTTGAAAACCTTCACAGCTTCACCTTTTGCCAACTAAATTTAGAACACATACAATAAACTCCTCATACAGAATACTTTTGTACTAGAAAACAGGTAATTCACATTCTGATAAAGAGCAAAAGACAAGTGCTTTATTATGAGAACTGTTCAAGTAAAATTTCAGTGTGCACCAGTGAAAGTGAATAAAGATTTGCATCAATTTTTTTTGAATGAACACTAGGTCAAAAAGGGGCTACACATTTCTTTTTTTTTCAAACACCACCCTTTGCTAAGGCAAAAAAAACCAAAACAAAACAAAAAAAAACCTCACTTAATTTTAGAACATAACTGTTACAGAAGAAAGCTACATCACAGTACAGTACAGAATGTAAAATTCACCCTAGTCTGGAAGCCATTATGGAATGGCACATCACCTACACTTAGACCTTCTAATGTAGGTTGGAATTACAGTATTTATCACAGCTTTATTTTCTTTAAACTGATAAAATTTGAATACACTTTCTATTTTTCAGGAGTGTGCAGATGGGGCCCATATGTTGATATTACAGTAATTACAACAGTAAATAACATTGCACAGTCAACCTCCAAGGCTAATTCAGTATAAAATAATAAAGTATTAAAATGTACCTTTACTAGTGGTTTTACATCGCATATATCACTAATTATGAAAGAAAAGTAGGCAAATGCCCAATCACAAAGTGGCACATTATAGGCATAATGATGTGGAATAAATACAAGAAATCTGGCAAAATATTTAAAACAAACGAGTTACATGGGAACAAACTCAACAACCACATAAGCATAAATCAATAATGTACTGTTATAAATAGTATGTTTTGCTCACAAGTCTCTTAAGTACTTATAGATATTACAGTGGCAGGGATGAATGAAGAGGATAGGAGGAGAATGAGGCAAATGTTTCCAATGCCAGTTAATTCCTGAGGTGGCATTATTTCTTAACTGATGCATTGATCAACACTGTAAAGATGAGTTTGTGCTATGAAACAGTCCCAATATTATTATATTCCCACAATTATATTGCGGTATTCTGAAGGCAGCAAACCTACGTGACAATTTATGTTATAATAGCCAGATAAAGTATGTTTTTTTTCTTTTAAATTTTGTTGCTACAATTAGCAGTGGGTCAGAAAACACTTCAAAGTTCAAAAGAAACTTGATGTAGATTTAACTTTTTTCCCAGTACTTCTTAGTTAGCTCAAGGCAATGCTATTATTGAATTTCATGTACTTGAATTTAAAAACTCTTAAGTGCCAACACTGTAAACATTTTGTATCTTCTCAACTAAACCTTGTGGGATAACAAGGAAAAGAGCAAAGATAAGCAGTAATAATTTTGTGTATAATAAAGCTGATCTATTTTTCAGCTTCTGGTTTAAATTTAAATATGATTTTAAAACAATTTTTAAAGGTCCATGCTACAACTTTGTAAAGACTATTTCTATGCACTTTTAATTCTGGACACAATTTTCAAAATTGCATGATGGAGGTAAGAATTTAAAAAACCCACCAGAATGTAAGTAACAGGGAAGAACATTTTCAAATCAAAGCATCAAACGTACATTCATGTGCAGAAATCTAGACAACTATACAAGGTTTTAAGCAATCGTGTTTTATTATACAACTCTATGAACAGAAAATGAACAGAAAAACACAATATACTTACCTGTACATGTGAACCTACTTTTTAAGCTACAGATATTTATTATAGTTCATACTGACTTTAATTTTACAGTTCATAACTATGTATAACCTTATTGCATTAACGGCAAATTCTACATGGGGAGATTCACAGGCAGACCACATTAGGCATTACCAGTACATTCAAAAACTGTACCTCATATATGTATGTATCTTCCCTGAACCTGTAAATTTGGACTTCTTTACAGCTTAAGCTCATTTGCTATTTTTGATGCAATGTTCTTAAAGGCAATAGATGTCCCGGATATTCGCTTGAAGCGGACCCCATTAAGTGACAGTCGTGGCAACTTGCAGACTTCCATCTCCCACTGCACGAGGCTATCCTGTCTAGCATCTCCATGGACACAGAAAAGCAAAAATCTCTCTTTTTGCTCATAATCACAGTTATTCGCATCTAACACTTTTCGGATTTCTCTCATCATGTCATTAGGGTCCATTGAACTAGTGGTCTTCATACTCCATGTGAAACGCAAAGAACGCGGCTTAGAATCTTTACCCTCTTCTTTGTCTCTTTCTTTTGGTTCCCCTGATGTACTTCTGGAAGAAGAGGGCAACGGGAAAGAATGAAAACAAATATTTCACTCAGCAAAGAGATCAAAACGCACATAAAATCTAAGTGGTCATAATTCAGTGCCTAATAAAACTACCTAATTTGCAGACTACCCTCAGATGGACGCCAAGATTTATGTTATCTTGCTGTTACAGAAACACACCCCAAGATGCCATCTGTTTTGACTTTTAATATTGTCAATCTAAAATAGCATTTTTCTTAAATATAAGTGGCTTGAGGGAAACACGTCTGCAACTGAAAGTGAAGAACTTAATACCTTCTTCAGTTCCATATTTCTCTGTTCAAGCACACACAAAATAGGGACCACTAATATTCTATTTGGAAATACACATTTTTGAAATATAAAAAAATATTTCTGCCTTTTTGGATAGGAAGAATATAATAACTTCAGAGGGAAAGATAATTCGTTTACCTGATAAGGTTGAGAAAGAATGTTGTACTGCAATTATGTAAAGACGTTAGATTATACCACATGTCTCAGTGTCCTCCAGTGATTTCTTATTTTACTAAAGACATCCTTAAAACAGTCTACAACATTCCCCATGACTTGCACTCCAACTTCTACTCTCCCCACCCCATTTCCTAGAATTTTTCTCTTTCCTCACTCCTATCAGAACACAATGGCCTCCATGCTATTCCTGGAACACACGGGTTATGTTCTTGCTATAAGGCTGTTGCACAGACTGTTCCCTCTGTCATGAATGCTTCTCCCCAGATGGCTGTGATGCTAACTCCTTTACTTTTTTCAAATTTCTGCTCATTTTCTTCATGAGGCTTCCCCTTACCACCCTACTGTACCCTAACTCCTATCCTAGCATGGCCAACTCCCCTTAGCCTGCTTTAATTTTTCTCTATAGTACTTACACATTCTAACATATTATTTAATCCATTTGTTAGGGTATTTACTGCCTGAGTCTATCATTAGATTGTAAACTCCAGGAGGGCAAGGAATTTTGTCTATTTCATTCACTGATCTATCTCAGGCATCTAGAACTGTGCTGGGTAAATGGTAATCATTAACATATTTGTTAAATGACTAAATCTCACTGAATTTTACTTATTGCAGGCATCCCACAAGTAATATGGAAACAAAAAACCTATTTCAAATAGTCATAGGAAGAAACCTGCATAGCTTCATTAAAGTTAATAGATCATTCGTGATACAGAAAATCCTGTAATTAAATTTCTTGAACAATTATCCAAATAGAGATGTTACACTGCAACTTGTTAACCTATCTCACTTCTGTGATTTAAGAAAAAAAAAAGTACCTTGAAAGGAGTTTATAATCTACTGCATAAATATTTTAAATTATTATATATACATTTTATATCAATAGTATAATATATATTCATGTATAATTTTATATATATATTATTTATTTCATTTCTAGGTGTCTGAGCCTAGGTATCTGAGTCCCCAAAGATCTGCAAACTATGCAGTCTCGAGAAAATAAGGAAAGGAATAGGTAGAGAAAATAAATTTCCAAAGACTATTAATAAGTATGGGAAGTATGTACTTCATGTTCTCTATTTTTCTCTTTTTGCCCATTGAATCTAAGCCATTACATCACAGGCCTCTTAGGGCTTGCAAGCCAACCAGAGTCATTTACCAAGGTCACATGTATAATTCTGGTGGATTTGGCATGCTGGAAGGGACTTGAGATCAGTTGACTGAGCACTCATTTTAAAGACGGAACTGATGGCTGGAAAACTTAGAATTACTTTTCTGTGGTTCACACCTGTAATCCCAGCACTTTGGGAGGCCAAGGTGGGAGGACCATGAGGTCAGGAGTCTGAGACCAGCCTGGCCAACATGGTGAAACCTTGTCTCTACTAAAAATACAAAAATTAGCCAGGTGTGGTGGCACACGCCTGTAATCCCAGCTACTCGGGAGGCTGAGGCAGGAGAATTGCTTGAACCCGGGAGGCAGAGGTTGCAGTGAGCTGAGATCGTGTGACTGCACTCCAGCCTAGGCAACAGAGCAAAACTTTGTCTCAGAAAAAAAAAAAAAAAAATTAGTTTTCTGAAGTTATAGAGCTAATGAGTTGAAAAGTAAAGACTAGAATTCAGGGGTATTATTCTAAGTCTAGTTTCCTTCTATTCCACCTTAAGATGACTTTAAGACAATAAAATTTTTTTTGCACGGTCTCACAGACATTGCCACTGATAATGTCAATTTTAGAAAGCTCCTGGAAATGTGCATATTAATATAATAACAACTAACATTTATTGAGTATTTACTAGGTGCAGGAACTGCCCTAAGTGCCTAAAATGTATTACTCATTTACCCCTCAGAACAATCCTAGGAGGCAGGTAGAGTGAGGACATGGAGGCACACAGAGTTGAAGTAACTTCCCCAAAGCCACACAGTAACGTAAGTGGTAGAACACAGCTGAAACCCATGCACTCTGGCTGAGAACCTGTACTTCTAACCACAGTATCACCCCATCTTCCTGAAATGACAGAACCTCACTATAACTGGCTTGATCCCACCTATGTTCCTTGCTGTTTTTTTTCCATCTGTAAAATAGGCATTTTCACCTAGTTGTGAAAATTAAATGACCAGAAAGTACTTTATAGTTAGTATTCAATAAGTTAGTTCAAAAGCAAAAATAGAACCAAACCCAACAACAACCAAACAAAACGGAATGTGAAAAGTATTGTGTAAACATTTATAAAAGATCAGTTACTAATTCTTATAATGCAATAAAATTATGTAGTTGTATCAAAAGGATAAAAATGTAACTATTAATAGCCACTTGCAACGCACACACTACTAAATGTCTCAGAGGGAAATTTAGTGGAAATATAGGATGAAATGCAAGGAGGGGCTCAAAAGTGAAGACTAAGTGAGGGAGAGGCTAAGAACAAGTCCTCCATGTTTATGCAAAAGGCAGAAGAAAGTGAAGAATATTCGTCTTGCTCCCCTGTGGCTCCATACCATGGTGACTCAGGTACCTAACTCTACAAAGAAACATTTCAACTATTATTACTAAATATAAATATAGCACAGTTTGTTAAAAAGACTACATGGGAATGCTATAGTTTTCCCAAAGTTAATTATGTTTTATATTTTAAGTAATTTGAAAAGTAGAAATCAAACTGGAGGCTTGTGTTCAGCAGGTCACAATCGATTCTGAATGAAGCCAGAGTCTTTCGTACTGTGGAATACTTGTTGGTTGTAAAACTTAACGTTGCAACCCTTAAGGCTTGTGTACACTCAAAATAAATTAATGCCTCCATTTCTTAAATTTCCCATTTGTAAAATATTAATGCAAGTACTAACACGTCCATAATGTGGTCCCTAGAACAGCAGCATAAGCATCTCCTGGGGACTTGTTAGAAATGTAAATGCACAGGCACCTGCCTCAGCCCCTGAATCAGAAACCCTGGGTGTGGGATCCAGTAATCTTTTTATCAAGTCTTCCCTGTAATTCTGATTGTGCTCAGATATGAAACCCATTGCCAGAATGAATATACAACTAGCATTAAATGTCAAAAAAAGAAATCCCCAAAAGTATGGCAGGATAGAATTTTTAAATGTGGTCAAACATTGAATTCTCACCTAAAATATATTACTAACATCAAATCTTCCTTCCCTGTTCTGTGTTATTTGTGCTATTTGACTCACACTAATTTTAGTTACATTACTTTAGTGAGAAAAATATCAGGACATTTAATCTATTAATTCCTCAGCTTGATATACTTTATAGAACAGAAAGCCTATTTTTTTTACCAAGTACACAATTCCAATGCATGTTTGGAAAACAAACTTAAAGTTGACTGACTTGAATGCTAGGTAATGTTATGAAAACCCACCCCAATATAAAAATCTAAAATATGCATGCTATCTAGTTATTAGATCTATTCATGACCATTAAGTGCTCGAAGTATTTCAAAGGTACGTTTTCACACACAGGGACCTAGCAGCGAAGTATTAATAGTGGCTCCTCACCTTGAGGTGTCGGTTCTGCCACTGGCTTCGCCTTCACTTGGATCCCTCAAAACAAAGTGAAGGTTGAGATTTAATGATAAAAGTAAAAAATATATCAAGAAAACCTATATCTAAAATTATTTTAAAATTAGCTTGTTGAGCAAACTTCTACCGTGACAGTTTTCTATTACTAGTCAGTCTGAGACTATTTCTCATGTTTTTCATCATAACCGCATGTAATTTATCATTTATTGAGCGTCTACTCATTTTTGTCAACAGGCAATATAAGGTGAAAGTTTAAAATTTTTTTCATAATCTTCCAATTCTCAGCCACAATTCATTTGAAGTCATAATTTATCTTTTGGTTTAGTTTAAAGTTAAAACTACTTAATAATTATCAATAGCAAGATTCAACTCCAAATTTGTAATTATGTATAATTTTAGTAGTCGCTCAATTTAGAAAATATATACATTAACTTTGTAGTTAGCAAATAAATACCAATTTCTAAATAAGCAATTTCTTAGAAGTTATGCTAACAATTCATGCACATGATAAAATATTACAGCAAATTAACAGCCTATCCATGTAGGCAAGTCTAAAAACATGGATTCAATCTTAAATAAAAACAAAACCTTACCTGGATATCCACCTGTGAAATAAAACCAGGAAAACACTACTAATTGTTCTGAGTTGCATGTAATTAATATTTTTGAAGTCTACCAAAATTTTAATGCTTTGCTATTTTTAAAGGTAATTAAATATCTTGTGATAGAGGGTAAAATACTATTAAATAGTGGGAAAAATCACCAACTTGAATCCTTAAGTTAATGTTTTCTTAATGTTTTAGCCATTCCAGAAACATTTCTATTAATTACGTAAAATTAATGCAATAAGAATAAAATCAATGGTACTCTCCCATCCCCCAAATTAATAAAACATACCCACACACCAAGCTCTAAAATTTTAAATTGTTCTTAAGAATATGAATGCCTTATACCTCTCAGGGTCTTTATCTAATACATGCCTTTCTTAACAACCATATTATGAAAAAAATTTTTTTCTATCTGAATTTAAAATAATACTAAAATGTATTCTCATATTCAAATGTAATTTCTTAAATTTCTATTTTTAATAACTGGCATTTTCATTGGGAAGAATAATAAAAATTCAATGCCATCTATACAAATCCATTTTTATTATAGCACATTGAAATAAATAAAACATTTTTGAGCAGGCTCAAAGTGAAATGTACATTTTCAGTTACATGTAGATGAACTGATACACACAGATGGGCAGTGTACCAACTTGGCAAGCAAGACAGTAATGCTGTCGACTCCCACTGCTAAGACAAAATTCCTTTAGGAAGGGACAAAAATCTCACTGGACTTTTCTGTCCTATTTATATTATGCTTTATTATTCACTATTAGCAAACACCTATTCCACAGCTGCTAAACTTAAAGCATTAGGAGTGAAATGTCCCTTAGACCCTATTTCCTCTGCTATAATTGACTGAAATCGCGATTGACCCATATCCTGTTCCTGCCTACGTGGATGCCAGTAGGAACACTGGAAGAATTTCTGCTATTGGCAATTGTTTCAAAGAGCCCAGGAAGTCTGCTTTAAGTAGTCATGGTAGGAGGCAGATGGGGCTACAGAAGGTGCAGCTGGCTCTAACAGCATATGCAGCACAGCATGCTCTCCAACACTTAACACTTAAAAAACAATGACCTACACATAGCAATATATACTCAACTGAACAAATTGGGTTATTCCCTATATAAGAATGAGCTATGGTTAGAAAATCATAAGGTTTGGTGTAGAAGTGAGCCATGCAGGTATTTAGGGCAGAGAATTGCAGGCAGAAGGAATAGCAGGTACACAATGCCAAAACAGTGCTTAATGTACTTGAGGATAGTCTGGTGCCTGGGTGGCTGGTGTGGAAGTGGCAAGAAGAAGAGTGGGAGAAGAAGAGGTCAGAGCAGAAATGGATGGCCAGGTTACACAAAGCCCCACAGGCTACGGCGGGGGCACAGAATTGTATTCTAAGCAAAGCGAAAGCTAATCAGGGGCTTTAAATCTAAGAGTGACATGATCAGATTGACATGACACTGCTGAAACAGAAGAGGAGGACAAGGACAGAAACTAGCAGAACTATGAGGTGGTGAAAGATGAAGAGTGGTTCAGAGTATGAAGGCAGTGGCGGGAGTGATGGAAGCAGCTAAATCCTGGAAATGCTGTGAAGGTAAAGCCCACACAAATTGCCAATGGATCTGATGTGGTATGAGGAAAAGAATTGTCAAGGACAACTCCAAGGCTTATGGTCCGAGCAACTGTAAGGACAAGGCTGCCAATTCCTAAGACAGTGAAGAACGAGGGAAGGATAAGCATGGGAAGAGGAACGAGAGAAGAGTTTTGAACATGTTCTGTTTCAGAGTCTATAATGTATCTAAGTGGAGAGGCTGAGCAGCAGTTGGATGTAAGAGTCTGCAGTTCAGGAGAGAGATGTGGGCTGCAGATACACTGGGGAGTTGTTCACACAGGATGGAATCTAATGTCATGAGCCTGACTGAGATCACCAAGAGTATAAGGAAAACCGGAGAAAAAAACATGTCCAGAGACTGAGCCCTGGGGCATTCTAATATTTAGAGGTTGGGGGAAAGGCAAGGGAATCTGAAAAAAGCCAGCAAAGAAGTCTGAGAAGCGATAGCTAGCCTGTGAGGTAGGAGAAAACCAGAGCCAAGCAAGGGAAATGCTTTAACTGTGTGGAATGTTTCAAGACAGTTAAGTTGCTCACAGGATGGCAAGAGCCCCATCAGTCTCACTCGCTGCTGTACAATAGCTCCTATGAAAGGCCTTGCATGTAGGTCTCCACATATGTGTTCAGTGACTATATGGCAGTCCTTTATCAGAACCTCCCAACAGACCAGCTCTAAGGCAGTTTCTTGCTTTGACATTCTATCTCATGACTTCCTTTCCACAGTACTGTTTCCCCTAGAGTCTAAATTTTTGTTGCAGAGTTAAGAGAAATATTTTGCACAATGCTTAATGCACAATTAGTAATCAAGCACTAAACTACAAACCTATTTTTCTTCACTTTAATTCTGGCTTAACCGTGAGAAAGTACTGGCTTTTTGAAATGGCCTTAAATAGACAAATTCCAAAAGCAGAAACTACTGATATTCTGACTAGTACCCTGCAGATGGCCGGCTAACACCGTGATCTACCTTCCATGCTGACTCTGTTGGTGAACTTTTAGTTCTTTCTGTAGCAAGTTGTCATGCTGCATAGTAATTGCCCAAATGGTACAAAGTCACTGACTGATATGGTTAGAAATTTATGTTACATCTGAGGCTTTAAAAGTTTTTAATTCAGCTATGTGATACTGGGCAAACTGATATATGAACCAAGTCTATAAATAGCTCCATGACAAGGCACTTAAGACTGAAGCTGCTTCTTCTCTTTTCCACATCCACTCTTTGAAATCCTAGGAACAGTAATAACATTGGAAACTAAGTATTTAATTAGTATTTCTTAAAGCAAGTATAATTATTTCTTACCCATCATTGAAGGCTCAGCTGAAATGATTATATGATAGGGTGCCTTCACTGTCTCCCTAGATAGAAACAATTCTATCTTCCTCTGGAATCCAGCATGTTGCCCACACTTTTTAGCACATGTTCTGCTTTATATCACAGCTAGTTGTTTGTCTGCTTCTTATAAGACTATAAGAATCTGGAGGGCACAGATGCCGTCTTACCTATCTTTAGATTCTGTTCTGCACCTAACACAGTGCTTTGCTTGTCGCAGGGCTTAAGTAGGCATTTAGTGGGACACAGGAATAGATCAAATCGACATCAGCCTGCATTGTAGTAGCAACTTGTATCATCAATGTGCACTGTACATGTATGCATAGTAAACACAGTAAGTATGCTTACTTTTTAGAAAGTATAATTGTATTGTTTAAGTAGATCAGACCTTTACTATACATGTATTCATTTTGCGTTTACTATGTTGTGATGATAAGGTTTTATGATATAAAATTACATAAGTGATCTGTGACTCTGGTGTGTAGGCTTTTTATGCAAAGAAGAAAAAAACATAAATGATGTATCATTAGTAAGCAATTTAAAAGTATTGTCAAGATAAATTTGAAGGAAACATGTAAACTCATTTCTTTTCCTCAATCACGGCTTTCAAATATAAAAATCTTTTGGTAAAACACACATTTTTGAAGTCAAGTTTTTGTTCTTTCCATTTTATTTTACAGATTTTAAAAATCTCATTTTGTCCATTTTTTTCTTTCTCTCTCTTAAGGAAAAATACTTTATGTCTTCCTAGATTTTTTTCTTCCAACTCTGTAAAAGAGCAGCTCTAATGAAATGTTATGAAACCATTTTAGAAAATTACTATAAATATTAAAAATAAGTCAAGTTTCCTTCGTAATCTCTAGAGGAAACAAAACACGACAGTACATTGGTACTGACCTGCGAACAAATTTGGATGTGATTTTGCTTATTATACCAGTTGACGTTCCCCTTCTGGCATGTGCAAATGCACCCGTTTCATGGGATGGTGAAGCAGGTGGCCCATTGTAAGCAGCGCTGCGTCGCTCCCGGAGCTGTTCACCATGGAAAGTGCTTCGGCTTGAGCTCCCTCGGGGAAAGCGGGTCCGGTCTGGAGTCGCAGTACTAATACTGTGAGCAGATGGGGAAGCAGCAGGCACTCTCTGGGTTGTACTGCTGGGACAAATTAAGATATATCATTTAGAATAATGACAGGAAAACCTTTCACTCATGCTAAAAACTTGAAACAAATAGCTATGGCTACTTCTTTTGGCCCTACTTTATTTGTTCACATTAGAGATGTGAGACATGGGTTAATTTTATTTACTATATCATTGGAGAGGAGTAAAATTTCAGTTTGAAACTAGGTACCTTTTGTTTGGTCACTAAAAATTAAGAAATGACTGAAACAGGGACACAAAGATAAATACTTTTCAGTATCACAAACGCCAAACCAGGGGTACTGCAAATATTTTTTTAATATTCTCCTGAAACCACTTAGCAATCAATGTTGAACACAAATTTTATTGTTTATTAAAAAGGCTTTGAATAAAATAATTTCCTATTTCTAATTTAGGCCTCAGTGATGGTACAACATCACATGGTACTACCAATATGCCCAACAAATCTAACAGAGGGTTAAAATGCTCAGATGTACTAAATTTGAGAAATCTTAAAATAGAAAAATACCAGAAAAACAATTACAAAATTTTATATCTGAATAGGCTCTTTGAGTTCATCAGTTTCATTGACAGGAAAACTGAAGTCCAGTTTCATTAAGAACAAGGAATTCAGCCTGATCATTATCCGTGGGTCTCAACTCCCAGTCTAGTGTTTGTTTGTATGTGTTTAAATCATAACAAAATCAGTTTACCTAAATGACAAATTAAGCAGAAATTCTTAACTTTATGGGGATGGACGTAAAATCAAATCCTTAAAAAAATTCCTTTAGAAAATGATTTAAGTTATATGTAACATTTCCAACAACAGCCAAAGTACATAGAAAGTTTATGTTACAATTCAATTTTTCCCCCATTACAAACACTGAATCTTATTAGAAAGGTCTTAATGTGATGGTGACTATCATGTATTTTCACATGGTGCTATATTTTTAGAAATTCTTAATGAACAAAATGAGATGTAACCAGCACATTACCCAGGCCGGTAAGCTTCAGAGCCGTCTTTAATGGTTGGCAGTGTGACTTTAATAGGATGACCAGAAGTGGACATGGACTTCTGGTGGCGGGGTCGTGCTGAGGGGACAGCAGAGGCCACAGAAGAGCCTGCAGAAGATATGCTACTCACAGACATCTCCGTAAGGCTTTCGCCATAAAGCAGTTGAGAAGACCATGGAAATGTAAAAAAGAAGAAAAATTGTGGTTTACTAAAATTTAAGAACTATATTTTTATAGTTTTTTATATTTTAAACTAACACCTTTCATGACTGAAACATTTGAAAGAAACTAGCATAGTGGCATTATTAATGACTAACAAAACAATTAATATTCTTATGAAAAGTATACAGGGTGAATTTATCACTATTATCCATGAAAAAAAATCTCACACACACTTTATGTATGTAAATGTGAGAAAGCACAAAATTATTTTTGTGGATATACAATAATTTCAGATAAAATTATTATGACTGGAGTCATTTTTTACTTCCCCAAAATCACAGTTTGGTGTGATATGTTGCTGTTGTTCATTGTCCATTATTCATACAATCAGAATTGATAATTATACCAAAAATATTATCTCTTTTAGATCATATCATGGTCAATAGGTTAACTGTTGCAGATTAAAGGAGCTGCAGCTTAAAATTTAGTATAAGAAAAATCGTAAGTCTGAAATCAATTTCCAATTATCTTATGTACAAAGAAGATACATTTTTCTTTGTATGCCTTACAATAGCACTTACTTTACATTCTTATTCAGTAAGAAGAAACAAATGTGAGAATGGTTTGTACACACTACTGAAATGACTGTAGGTGGTACTAAGAAAATAATTTCATTAGAATAGGCTCCATGTCTTTGTACTATATTGATGAGTAGTCCTTGTAACTCATGACAGAAAGAAGATACATTTTTTAAGTAATACAAATAATACGATTTATTATTATTTGAAATAAAACACTTTAAAAATTATGTGGTTCTGAATGATGAGAAATAAGATGGCCACATTTTTTTCAGAGGAAGGAAAATAAAGCCTTTATTCAGATATGGTAATGACTTGATGGGAGGTGAAAGGGAAGGAGGCAGCAGATGCACAAAAGAAAAAGATTCAAATTATGAAGATGAAATTAGGATGGTATGATCTGCTTTGTTACAGAAAAATATTTACTATCAGATTTTACTCAGAAATTGGCAGGTAAAGAGATTTATTTCTTGTTTTCTCTAAATGTTTTCCCAACCTTCTATCTTGGTACAGGAGAGATGTCTCAGTAAGAATAGTTGGGTTGCAATCTTACTATTTCATGTAATAACTCCTTTTCTCCTGACCCATTCCGCTGCAGGCATTTCAGCAAGGGCACTAACACAGAACAATAGTAAAGGTATTACTACTTGGCACTGTGGCATTTACCTGCTGTCTTTTCCATTCTGCAATGCTGTGTATCGATCTGTGGTCCTTTCACAGACATATGTATTCCTTCTTGCCATGCTACCTCCAGAATACACATTGTTCTTCAAGAATAAAAAGAAGGCAATTAAAAAATTATAAATATATTTGTGGAAAGCCAAAGAAATATTATTTAAGCTGACTCTGCGAAAAATCCACAGAATTTTAATTGATTAGAATCTTATATTAACAAGAATTATCCTCTGCCTCTCTCTCTCATTTAGATTTCCGAAGCAAAAGACAAAGCATCAAAAATGAACTCATTACAGTTTTAGCTTATCCTCCTACAATAGCAGCCAGCAGTTTGGAAGCAATAGGAGAGCTGGGTTTCTATTCACTCCCTCCTTTGTGAGCTGGTGGTAGAGAAAGGGCAGGAGCAGGGGTATGAGCAGCTCTAAGTGACTAGGAGTACAAGCCAACTCCACACTAAGTATCATCACCAACAGGAGCCTGGGGCAGTAAAGACGGCACGCCCACTCAGAAGCCTGTGGGCTGCCTTTCTTCACCTGCTTGGGAAACTCTCTCAACCACTGGGAATATTAAGCAGACTAAATGCCCCAGGATCAAAGGCATGTCCAGTTGAGGCCACCAACAGTGGTGTGTGCAGTGCCACACTGAAGATATTTCCTCAAGGCTCAGGTTTGAGCTAGAAGGAAGGCCAAGTCTGAGGAGCCTTGGAGAAAAGAGAGAAAATAAGCAAAATGGGATAGACAGATGATTCTCCTTACCACGCACACAATCTTTGACCTGTAACCCATTGTTGTGCCTGCCAAATCCTGACCTACTCACTGGTAATAAAATATACAGAAATGATTTTCAATGTGGATATAATACTCTTCTGTTTAATCCTTACTACAACAGAATAAAAAAACTTGCTACTTTTGACTAACACAGCATTTAAAATATATATTCAACCTAAACATTGTTGAATCATGAGGGCTACAAAGTTAATAAGATATTTGCTTGAATTCACTTTGAAGGAAAAAAACTCATATAAACAAAACTGAATACAGATTTAAAATTTTTCAGTAGTGCAGGTTCCTAGATGGAAGGAATTTTGTCTCCAGTTATATAAAAAGCATATGCTAAAAACTATAAAAGTATGGTAGCAAAACAGGCAAAAATTATTAAAATTTTTAGGTAAGACTTGGAACATGTAGGCCAATTGTGGTGGCTCATGCCTGTAATCCCAATACTTAGGGAGGCCTAGGAGGGCAGATTGTTTGAGGCTAGGAGTTCAAGACCAGCCTAGGCAACATGGTGAAACCCCATTTCCACAAAAAATACAAAAAAATTAGCTGAGTGTGATGGCACACACCTGTAGTCCCAGCTATTCAAGAGGCTTAAGTAGGAGGATCACCTGAGCCCAAGAAGTTGAGAAGAATACAGTGAGCTGTGATTGTACCACTGCACTCCTGCTTGGGCAACAGAGCGAGACCCTGTCTCAAAAAAAAAAAAAAAAAAAAAAAAAAAAAAAAGACTTGGTCCATGTTATTAAAGCAAAGAAAATTGATTTGATTATGCGGATGCATTATGAAACTAACTTACATTAAAGTTTTCAAAAAACTAGGAATGTCATCGTATTTCATAGTTTGAAAGACACTGTTTCATTACCTGCTTTCCCATTTAACATGATATTAACATCTATCCACATCAAGTGATACTAAAGTTTTATGGCTGTAGCCTATGCAACTGTACAGACATACCATATTTTATTTTAATCAATAAATTCCTAATTTTTGAACACTTAAATTATTTCCTACTCTACTCTTAGAAGCTACTAACATTTAATTCCCTAGAAATTAACTGGAAATTTGAAATCTAGAGGACAAATCTTAGAAATACATAATAGGAAATAGGAAAAACATACTGGGCAATTATTAAAACTGCACAGGATTACTGAAAAGCTGTAAAATCACCGCATGGGCACCAAATGTACCAATATAAAAATATTTGCTTTTGATAATCTCATAATTTTGGCCAAACTGTCATATGAATAACTTAATTCCTTGTCAAATCATGCTACCATACATCTTCTGGAAGCCTCTAAAATGTTTGTGGCTATTCTCAATGACATTTCTTTCCTTTTCAAAGGCTGATGGTGAATGGGATCTCTCCTTCCAAGCTGTGCCTCTGAATTTGTGCTCCTCCCACCCTACCTCCCTTGCCTTGACCCTTCAATGCCAGTGACATTCAGGTACGGCAACCATCAGTTGTATTTCCCCAAGGAAATTTAAGATAGAATTAGGCAAAAGTTATGGAAACACAGTGTTACTGTTTCCATTTGTCATACATTTATATAAAACTAACTTTTATAGTTGACCTTCCTAATTCAAATAAAAAAGATCTAGTGATCACTAAGCAGGTAAGGTTCTTTCTGCTGAGGATTTGGGAACTAGGTGGAAAACTACCCTTGCAGACTCTTGCAGTCTAGTTTGGTAACTTCCTCAATGTGGAAACCAACCATGTAAACAACTTTTTGGGGGTTCTTTCACAGTAAAGTGATTATATTTTACATAATTATACCATAAGTTTATATACAGTATTTTATACTTACTATAGCATCCTTAATCTTTTTGAGTCTTCCTAAGATAAATCTCTTCTTCCCCTTATTTTATTTTTTTAAATGCTATTTCTTTGTTTTTGTTTTTCTTAAAAAAATTTTAAATCTTCTTTTAAAGTTCCAGGGTACATGTTCAGGATGCACAGGTTTGTTACATAGGCAAATGTGTGACATGGTGGTTTGCTGCACCTATCAACCTGTCACCTAGGTATTAAGTCCAGCATGCAATAGCTATTTTTCCTAATGCTCTCCCCCAACCTCCGCTCTCCTCTGAAAGGCCCCAGTGTGTGTTGTTCCCCTCTCTGTGTCCATGTGTTCTCATTGTTCAGTTCCCACTTATAAGTGAGAACATGTGGTGTTTGGTTTTCTGTTCCTGCATTAGTCTGCTGAGGATAATGGCTTCTGGCTTCATCCATGTTCCTGCAAAGGATGTGATCTCATTCCTTTTTATGGCTGCATAGTAGTCTGTGGTGCATATGTACCACATTTTCTTTACCTAGTCTATCACTGATGGGCATTTGGGTTGATTCAATGTCTTTGCTATTGTGAATAGTGCTGCAGTGAACATAAATGTGCATGTACCTTTATAACAGAATGATTTATATTCCTTTGGGTATATACCTAATAATGGGATTGCTGGGTCAAATGATATTTTCAGTTCTAAATCTTTGAGGAATCACCACACTGTCTCCCAGAATGGTTGAACTAATTTACATTCCCACCAACAGTGTAAAATTGTTTCTCTGCAACCTCGCCAGCATCTGTCGTTTCTTGACTTTTTAATAATCACCATTCTGACTGGCATGAGATGGTATCTCATTATGGTTTTGATTTGCATTTTTCTAATATTTAGTGATGGTGAGCTTTTTTTTCCACATTTGTTGGCCATGTGTATGTCTTCTTTTGAGAAATGTCTGTTTATGTCCTTTGCCCACTTTTTAATGGGGTTCTTTTTTTCTTGTAAATTTGCTTAAGTTCCTTGTAGATTCTGGATGTTAGACCTTTGTCAGATGGATAGATTGCAAAGATTTTCTTCCATTCTGTAGGTTGTCTGTTCACTCTGACGACAGTTTATTTTGCTATGCAGAAGGTCTTTAGTTTAATTAGATCCCTTTGTCAGTTTTTGCTTTTGTTGCAATTCCTTTTGGCGATTTCATCACACAATCTTTGTCCATGCCTATGTCCTGAGTGGTATGGCCTAGATTTTCTTCTAGGGTTTTTATAGTTCTGGGTTTTATATTTAAGTCTTTACTCCATCTTGAGTTAATTTTTGCATAAGGTATAAGGGAAGGGTCCAGTTTCAATTTTCTGCATATGGCTAGCTAGTTCTCTGAGCACCATTTGTTAAAATAGGGATTCCTTTCCCCATTGCTTGTTTTGGTCAACTTTGTTGAAGATGAGATAGTTGTAGATGCACAGTTTTATTTCTGAGTTCTCTATTCTGTTCCATTGGTCTACATGCCTGTTTTTGTACCAATACCATGCTGTTTTGGTTATTGCAGCCTTGTAGTACGGTTTGAAGTCAGATAGCGTGATGCCTCTGGCTTTGTTCTTTTTGCTTAGGATTATCTTGGCTATATGAGCTCTTTTTTGGTTCTATATGAATTTTAAAATACTTTTTTTCTAATTCTGTGAAGAATGTCAATGGTGGTTTAATGAGAATAGCATTGAATTTATAAGTTGCTTGGGCAGTATAGTCATTTTGACAATATTGATTCTTCCTATCCATGAACATGGAATGCTTTTCCATCTTCGTTGGTCCTCTGATTTTCTTGAGCAGTGGTTGCAGTTCTCCTTGAAGAGTTCCCCCCCTTCCTTTGCTAGCTGTATTCCTAGGTATTTTATTTCTTCGTGGCAATTGTAAATGGAGTTCATTCATGATTTGGCTCTCTGCTTGCCTGTTGTTGGTGTAAAAGAATGCCTGTGATTTCTGCACATTGATTTTGTATCCTGAGACTTTGCTATAGTTGCTTATAAGCTTTAGAAGCTATTGGGATGAGATGATAGGGTTTTCTAGATACAGGATCATGTCATCTGCAAAAAAGACAATTTGACTTCCTCTCTTCCTATCTAAATGCTCTTTACTTCTTTCTCTTGCCTGATTGTCCTGGCCAGAAATTCCAATACTATGTTGAATAACGAGTGGTGAGGGAAGGCATCCTTGTCTTGTACCAATTTTCAAGGGGGAATGCTTCCAGCTTTTGCCCATTCAGTATGATATTTGCTGTGGGTTTGTCATATATGGCTCTTACTATTTTTAAGGAACTCAAAATACGTTCCTTCAATACCTAGTTTATTGAGAATTTTTAACATGAAGGGATGTTGAATTTTATCGAAGGCCTTTTCTGTGTCTATGGAGATAATCATGTGGTTTTTGTCTTTAGTTCTGTTTCTGTGACTAATTACATTTATTGATTCACGTATGTTGAACCAGCCTTGCATCCTGGGGATGAAACCAACTTGATCATGGTGGATAAGCTTTTTGATGTGCTGCTGGATTCA